TTTTTTTTTTTTTAAATCGGGGGCCCCCCCCCCCCCCCCCCCCCACACACACACACACACACACACACTTCTGCTTTCCCTCACATACATTTGCACAAATTTGATTAACAAGTGACTGGTGTGCAGTGTTTCCTTATTTTGTTCTTATTTTATATCTATTCACGCAAATATTTTGCACAAAATTTACAAGAGCAAAAAAATAATATCTCAGCAAATTTTGTGATAAAAAAACTAAATAATAAAATTTATTTGATGAGGTTTGATGGAATACTAAAAGCATAAGCGGATGAATAGGGCAAACAAGTAGAATGGCAAGAAATAAATACCAATAAAGTATGAATAAAATTAATAAAGGATGATCACATTTAGAAGTGAAGGGATAAACGTGTTATGAATTCAAAACCCATTCCAGGTTCTTTGATGTTTAACTCGGTGTATATAATTAAAAACCATCAGACCATGGCGGTAAATGTGCATCTTAACGCGTGAAAGTTCTTTGCGCATTTTAAATGTCCACCCTTTTCTTGAAGAGACACTGCATGAATGAATCGAATGATAAAAAGCAAAATAAGTCGGTGCTACACATACAAGTTCATGTACATCACACATGTTGACCGGTAAACTGAATCAACATTTAAAACATTTACAATACGAGAGCCCATATTGCTCCATAGATCAAATCAAATAAATTGAAGCGATGTACGTTTTCTCCTTATAGGTGATTTTTTTACTCAGAGGTGGTACTTTAATGCTTGCAGTGGGATATTTGTAGAAAGAATTATTAATGCAAGTGAACTGCGCGATTAAAAAAAGAAGACACTTTGAAAAAAAATGAAAGGTGTGCACTGTCTCTTTAAGCATTTCCTTACCAAAGCAGATTTGCACACGGTTAATGGATGCTTGAGCGCTCGTTAATTCTCTTTGGTGAAAACATTATGTGGGCAGGTGATACAATATTTAACTAAGATGGCGGCGTTAAAAGTTTCATGAACTTAATTCGACATCCCAATATGTTCGCCCGCCGGTAACAGAACCTCGTATTTTAAGTGTATCTAAGGGAACCGAGTGATTCCAAAGCATGCCAGCCACGAGGAAATGATCTGACGTATGAAGAGTTGCACAATAGCTATCAAATCAGTTTTTGAGTGTGGTTGGCACAGACACAGAGTGAAGAATCATTGATTTCGCACCCTGGAACTGCTTACTGTACTAGTCGAAGAAAATTAACCGTATTTGACATCACGCATTTAAATCAAGAGGCATGGAGGGTTGTCGCAAATGATATCAAGTGAGACCGTAGATTTTCTTGGATGATTCACACGTGTTTCACACGTTTGCAAGATGGAGGATTTCAGTGGACGAGGCACCCTCTGCAGATACATTAAATAATACATAAGATAATTATGGACTCGAAACCTACATTTTACGTTCGCTGGGGAACGCAGTAAGTAAGCTCTAGAATGTGAGGTACATGTAAACAGAGTCTATTCATGAAAACCATAGGCCTATAATATGCGTCTTTCACAAATGTTTATGTTTGCTTTGGGGTTTTATGTTGGTCTGATGGTCTTCACGTTCTTCTCGGCTGTACCGCACAATCTAAATCCATCAAAGAGGAACCGGAATTATGAGGAATATGTGTTGAATCGAAACTCTGAAGACAGGCTTTTCAAACGGATGTCAGATGACAGCCACTACGTGGCGCCACTAGCCGATAGGGTGGATTTCAATGACGAGCAACAACATGACGGTAAGCCACGTGTTCGAAGGTTTTACGGCGTGTTTGTCACTGATATTATTGTGTTTAAAGTATAGTGTAGTAAGCATGGGGACAATGACAGCGATTTTGTGGGAGCACCCCTGGGTCGGATGATATTTTTTGTAAATGCTTAGCTCACTACTGAAAATAAGCTTTCTACGAGCTTGAATACTAGTGAATGTCCGATGTTTAACAGTAAGTGGCGTACATGTAGGCCCATGTGTGTTTAGGGTTTGGCAAGTATGGCGTTTGTACCGGGGGCTCTTAAAAACGTGTCACCGATTAATTTTTTCCAAGTTTTTAGTACCTAATGTTCCTGTCAGGGTCGCAACACTTAATGAAAGGAACTACATGTGGGCGCTGTGTTGTAAGCACACACCCTCAACCATCGCTTGCGTATGCTCAACACCAGCATCACGTCATGGAATTCATATCTCTTTCAGATGATGACACAGTAGCCAGAGAACTCTATCAAAAAGTTCGTGTATTATGCTGGGTGAAAACATCCACGGGGGACATGGACACTAAAATCAGGGTGGCTAGGGATACGTGGGGGAAAAGATGTAACGTGTTCCTTATCCTTAATGTCGCTGACGTCAACGGAACGATGTCTGTGTCTGTCATTGACGTCATTAAACCAGGCAGGAATCGTATTCCAGAGACAAAGGGGATACACGGTGGTCGTGTCTTTAAGAGGAGGTTAGCAGGAACACTAGACAATGATTCTTCTGTTCGTATGAATCAAATGGAATATAAATTCAAACTGCTTAACCCTGCTGTAGCTGTTAAAGGTGGAAACACTATAATGGACAGAAAACAAAATGGTTATTCAAATGTACAAAAGAAAAACCGAAACACTGGCCAAGTAGAGCGAAGGCATCGATATGATGGTCAGAAGGGCAAACCAGAAGGGGTAGCTGTCAGTGTGTCAGAAAAAGGAGGACAACTGGTCCCCAAACTATACCATGCGTATGCTTTCATCTATAAGAACTATTTCAAAGATGCCGACTGGTTTATCAACACTGATGACGACACTTACGTCATCGTAGAAAACCTACGTCACTTCCTGTCATCCAAAAACTCTAGTCACCCTGTGTATTTTGGGTACCATTCGAAAGCGTTTTTAGAACAGGGATATTTCAGCGGAGAAGGTGGTTATGTTTTTAGCAAGGAAACGTTGCGCAGGCTGGTAATAATTGGCGGGAAACAACAACAAAGTTGCCACCAGAATGGCGGAGAAATGGAGTTTGAAATGTGCCTCTCACAGTTAGGTGTCTACTCCGGCGACTCTAGGGATGAGTTAGGCAGAACCAGGTTCCACTACTTCCCGCCCCACATGCATTTTAGCGGGATTTATCCTGCGTGGTACAGAAAGCTCAGCCGGGAAAAACAGAGAAAAGTTGGTTGACATCTGTCTCACTTTTCATGCTTATTTATTTACTTTATTTTATTACATTTTATGTTTCATTTGCCCTTACTTTAGATCATCCACAAAATAAATAAAAAGATTTGTTAATCAATCAGTAAATCAATAAATTGATAAATAAATATCGATTCCCTCGTAAATTTAACCCAGGTGCGATACTGTAAGTTTCCTATCGATCATTTTTTTAGGTATATCGTTCATCTATTTCATATCAATAATATTAATTTTCAATTACAGGGAATCGATTCAATTAGTGACCATGCTGTCAGTTTCAATACCATGAGTCCAAACAACATGTGGGCAATGGAATACTACCTATATCACCTTAGGCCATATGGAATAGTGGCTTTATTCAAAAGAGAATAAAGTGCAGACATAACAGACATTAATTTCACTGTCAGATCAAGGATGTTGCTAAGCGGAGGGCACAGAGGACTAAAATTTGTCTAGGGTTGCCAAGAATTAGTCAGTGAACGAGGAAAGTAGACGATGATATGAATATNATCCTCACCTACATACGCCTGTGTATTTTAAAATTACTCAAAACATGCATCCAATACCACTAAAGAAACCCTATTCAGTCATACAAGTGAATTAAAACGTACAGTTTACCTATTTTGGATAATATTTACAGTACAAAAACATTATATTTCAAAAACGTTCTCTCTCATAACGTTGGACCAACAACAGGTACTTCTTCACCATTATCCCATGAAGTCGCAGGCAATATCTTATGTGGAGATGAAGTCGCAATTTATCCTATGAAGTCGATTTGACAGTAAAATCAGAGCATTTATCCCATGAAGTGGTAATATACCATGAAGTATCTTAACAGACGTGTTTTGGTGAATGTGTGAATTTGCTCCTATTTTGTAATCTTCAAGAAAGCACTTTATATAAGTGAAATGCATACCTGCTGTTTTACAATATCCCAACATGGCGACCACATTCTCGTGCCGAGGCACTAATTGCATAGTCTCTATTTCTCTGAAAAATTCTTTTTTGTCGACTTCTGCACTCTTCTCTAAAATGAAAGGTGAACATGTGACAAACAATGAAAAAACAAAAGGAAACAGCGAAAACATTATTTGAACTGATATGCAGTCATAGGCATTGAACGTGCAATATATATTTAAAAAAACTAGCTCATCAAACAGTACCTTTTAAACGTTTTACTGCAACATGCTTGTCAGCATCAGTGGTTTTCAAAACAGCTTTGTAGACTTCCCCAAAGTGACCATGTCCTATAGTTCCCAGAATCCGAAGTTCGCTCTCAGACAGTTCCCTCGCTGATGAGTTAGCATTTACTTCCGCGTACGGATGAGTCTTAAAAGTAAACACCATAATGGCAATTATATGTGATTCATCTACAGCGCAGTGTACCACAAACATATGGTTGTATGTCTTATAAACAATCTTTGAACTTTCTTCTTGATAAAATGCTTCATAGATCGTACATGCAAAAGGGCTCCTGCAAAAGCAATACGGTAAAATCAAACAAAAAAGTTTTCTCCTGAATATATTCCTTGTTCCTATCAGTGAGACACTTAAACCAGAAGACATCGATATCTAATTCGAGTTTGTAAAAAAAAAAAAAAAAGGCCCACTTACCTCTGACGTTGTTTCAGGCATTTCGTACACGTGAGCATCGGTTGCGTTACCCCTTCGTAATTGGTATAAAGTTTTGATGATAGGCAATTTTGAAGCCTTTTCTGGACGACGTATCTATTAATATAGTAAAATATTTATAATGACCATGTTATGAAATCGCTAGAAGGAATTTTAATACGAAATATTAATGCGAATACTAAATGGTCCTTTACTGACTAGATGTCACTGAACGGATAAATTATAACAAGTACATTTTAATATTAAAATATTACAGCTTCTCTCTCTCAACCCCCCCCCCCCCGCGCCGTAGCTTCTAAAGAATTCACAAAACTTTTTGCACAATTTTCCTAACAGGCAGACAGACAGACAAACGGAAGCAAATATAACCTCTTTGGTAGAAGTAGTAAGATACGTTTGTTTATTTTACTATTTTTCCAGAATAAAGGAATTTAAGACAGTTATTATCACATTTTTATTATTTACATCATTGTCATTATTGTATCAGATGAAGNAACGGATAAATTATAACAAGTACATTTTAATATTAAAATATTACAGCTTCTCTCTCTCAACCCCCCCCCCCCCGCGCCGTAGCTTCTAAAGAATTCACAAAACTTTTTGCACAATTTTCCTAACAGGCAGACAGACAGACAAACGGAAGCAAATATAACCTCTTTGGTAGAAGTAGTAAGATACGTTTGTTTATTTTACTATTTTTCCAGAATAAAGGAATTTAAGACAGTTATTATCACATTTTTATTATTTACATCATTGTCATTATTGTATCAGATGAAGTTTTGTACATTACTGCAACTTCGCCCTCTTGGAGAGAAACAATTGTGTTGAGTAACAACATGATAGTAAATTATCCGCTGTTTTTTATACTTACCACATATAGGAGAGATCCAATCAACAAACAAATTAATACGGCGCTTAAGGTTATACCAACAGCAAGTCCTGCAACTAACCCGTTACCACTACCTATGAGGAAAAATATTTTAAAGTATATAAATCTAGCATTAAAAAATCAATAAACATTTGATAGTTAAAGTCACTTATATTCATTCGCTTACATTTGGCCTTTCATTTCAAATATTTATTGTGTTGAACAATCTAATTTGCTATTTGTTTTTCAATAAACAACTACAACTTCATTTTTCAATGGCTATAGCAAAATCAACTGAGATTTACAAGCCAATATTTCGTCTGCTGAAAATCAAACTTCATCAGGGGGATGAGGGCTTTGGTGGATATTACAACCTGTCACTCTATGCGTGCTGGTTCAATCTGGTGCCCCCTGTCTCTGTTTGCCCCCTATATGTTTGGACTAAAATCCATTGCTATGTTTATTTATTACTGTAAATAGTTTTTATGCTTCATTAACACTACACAACATTAATTATGACGGGGGCAGTAGTTTTCAAATATCTGTTCGTTATCTTCTTTATTAACAATTTCTCAGAGGCCTGCAAATTCTACTGATTATAGTGTACAGATAATTTTCATTATCAAGGCGTAGAGGTTGGTTATCTCTGAAGCTCAGCGCAGTTAAAAGTAACTGTATGGGCAAATGAAATCATAATGATACATGAAAGTCTTTCCATCTGATTGAATTTAAATATTTGCGCAGTTTCTTTCTAGTCTTAATTTCCAATTTTTAAAGTCCACTGACTCTATCCCGAGCAAACCATTCAAGCTACAAATAGCCATGCATACAGTACATACATGGAGATATAAAATGGGTGACAATGAATGTGTTGTATTACAGTTCAAATCAGTAAGTTAGCAACTTTATCAATATTACTCTACAATTGTTAAAAGCAAGCTACCTGGTGGTAGATTGCCACTTGAATCGCCAGCGGTCGAAGTAACAGCAGGGGGTGTAGTAGCTGTAACAATGTAAGGAGGAGAGAGTAAGATATTTAGTTTGTGAAAAAGAATAAATAATTTGTCACAACAAAACATGGGAGGAATAAACACGCATTTTCATTTAACAATCATTATAGTGAAACAAAATGACGAAGTGTTTTTTCTTGAAATAGCATTTTATTCATTACATGTCATAATGTAATTTGACATATCAATATCATATAAATGCATTCACTTTGATTTTATCAATGATAAAATGAAATGATTTAAAATCTCAACATTTCCAACTTTGTTTTAATGGTTAATTCGACACTATTATTTTAGTCTAAAGAGAAGGTGCAAATGATGGTCTCACTTGTTGTACTGCTTGATGTCATAGTGCTTACTGAAATATTGGATTAGAACAGTTTTTATGTGATACTGGTAAAAATTAAAATCAAAATCCCTCTAGAAATCTAGCACAACTTCAAAAGCTTTTACTTTCTAAGAAGCTAATAACACTCTACAATAAGAAATATTATCTAGCCATCCAATAGTATGTGGGACAAATAGTTGAACATTTTATACATATTGAATTCTATTTTACTGTCTTCATGAGCTGGTTTAAAACAGTTAGGGTATATGTTTTTTGTTTTATTATTATATTGCAACAGTAAGGCACTCTTCAAATCTTATTGTACTGCATGCATATAATAGTTTAATATTCTAAAAGAAACAAACTACCTGGCAGAAGACTGCCATCTGAAACGCCAGCAGGGGAAGGAACAGCAGGGTGTGTAGTTGCTAAAACAATGTAAGAAGGACAGAGTTAAAATTATCCTATACATATGTACAAAACAGCTTGTGAAAGAGAGGAATTCAATCATTATGGCAACACACACACACACACACACACACACATATACATGTATATTGTGATTTCACAATTGGTAATTGGTATTAATAGTAAATCGGGTGACAAAAGATCTGAAAGAAAATTACTAAGTTTTCAATAGTTCATGTTTGCCTGTATTTTAAAAAGATGTCAAATCAATACAGTACCTGTTTCTGTTGTCATTGTTGTTGTTGTTGTGGGCTCTGGTAAAAAAATAAAGCTGCTGTTTTGTGATCCCAGATCATTTGCACCAGTGCAATAGAATCTTGTTGGGGTGGTTACATTGACTGTTAATGATGCAGATGGTCCCGGTGATGTTAATGCGACACCAGTGGAGTCATATATGGTCACAGACGGCAAGGGTATTCCATTTGACGTGATACACATTATGCTATATGTTATCGAGCTTAACTTGGTGTAACTTAGTGTCGGGTTTGGCGGTTTCTCTGAATAGCATAAATGGATAATAAACTTAACTTTTTGATGTATTTTATATAATTTAAATAAAGCATTAACATATAATAACCATTTTGATGGTTATAATGAACTTCGCCCTTATCAAGTCAGTAAACAAAAAAGTACTGCATAACTGATGACATACAGGTAGTCACATACTAATAATGTACACGACACCTTATTACTTGGTAATTTAGTGTTGCATATCGGTTTTCCGATTTCCCGATTTAAGCTTCCTAAAGATGCGTATTTTCAGAATAACATATCTAACACTAACACCCCAAGCGTTTACGTTTACTTTTTGCTAATTTTATCTTGGTGTAACTTAGTGTCGGGTTTGACGGTTTCTCTGAATAGCATAAATGGATAATAAACTTTACTTTTTTGATGCATTTTATATACATTTAAATAAAGCATTAAAACGTATTATAACAATTTGATCATCGTTTATATATACAGACTTGACA